GGTAATACCAGTAGGCTATATGGCTTTTTCGAGGTACATGTCGAGAATTTTCCGAAGAAAACAAGGATTCGAACCCTTCTGCCAACAAAAACAGAAAATGATAGCCGTTAAATTGATTGTTTCATGAAAGAAGATTGAATATGGAAGGTGAAATGTGTTTTTAGCCTCCGACGTTATTGTCAGCGCTGACCGCCATTTCGCTGGAAACGAGGAGGTACATGATGAAGGGTAAGCCCTGCGCAATGGCATTTCCGAAGGTATCGACAAGAATGTCATTTCCTTTTTTGAATTGCAGCCATATCAAACAACACTTGGAGGATAAAATCGATGTGAGCAAGTTATCGGAAGAAGCAGAAGAGGTAACCACCTTGATTTTTTTTGTTGTTTGCGGAGTAGCTCCTGAAAGGCAGTGTGTTCATGACCACTTCCAGAATAAATCCTTGCAACATCGGACAGTGTCTTGAGCCTGCGCTTGGGTTTACAGCCGCGAAAAGCTCAAATGCTTGATCGACACCTATACTCCCCAGGTTACTGACAGCGTTGCCGTTCGCTCAAAACCTTAACGCAAAGTGCGAACGCAGCCAAGTTTTTTGATGGGTTTATAATGCAGTGACCATTCTGTATTGGTCAGCTTGAAAATGTTTTCTTGGTGGCCCGAAGTGAGAATCCCATAGTGGTCTTCCATTCTAGGTCCATCAACAGCAACAACTTCCTCCTCAGCAGGTCGTTAAAAGTTAATTAGAAAGAACTCATCTGGTTTGGGTTCTGAGTGAAAAGTCTCATGAATCGGGACATGTTTGTGTCGTGACAACTGTGTCGGAAATTCAATAATCTCACCTATGTTTTATGTCAAGCCGAATGGTTTTTCATTTTATTTTCTTATTCCTTTATAGGTAAACCAACAACAAGCACCACCTCCACAGCAGGTTCTTATAGTTTCATGTTAAATATATGTTAACAGTGGCTTATTTGAATTAACTGCGTCAAGGGAAAGGTCAGAAGGGGATGATTGAGACTTTTCTCTGGTTGTCTGCGTCCTCTAAGGCCGAATTAACCCTGTATCGTTCTACCTAACCTTGTGGCGTAACAACAGGGTTGAGAAAAAATAAATTGAGGGTGATTTGGTATATGGGATCTACAATATGTTGTTATAGCAATTTTTATAGGTCCATCAACAGCAGCAACCTCCCCCTCAACAGGTTCTTATATTTGTCTACGAATTGCTAATCTAACTGTCGCTACTTTCTATTAAATATCTAAGAGTGTGTCCATACCTCACGGTATTAGCGTTTCGGTCGCTTCGATCGAAGCGTTTGGTGTCTCCTATCGATTGCGCTCGGTTTATTGAAGATTTCTTGCTTGTCCAGCTATTTGTGTCGCTACCTTCCGTCAGGACAACGTGTTTAGCTCACGGGGTGGTCTGTCTGCTCTGAACGCTGCCCGTGCTCTATTTGAGCCTTTAAAAGTTGATCTCCCTTGAAAGGCCTAGGCTGTGTTCATAGTTGGCAGTCGGCGCCTACTCTTCATGATTTCGGCAGTCACAAATTCGAGCGATTCTTCAATTAGAGCTGGAGCGCTTTCGCCATTTCTAATCACTAACCGTCAAGGTTTCCTTCGATTCCTCCTGCTGCTCCACCACTAACTGCAAAATCGTTCATGTCGCACGATCGCTGACTCTTGACTGTGACCGCAGCCTTGGTGTTCTTTTGGTATGACCCCCTGTTGCCATCTGCACCCATGTCCCTGCGAAGTCGTACACAAAGTGCATGTTTGTTGCAGTGTAAGGTTTCCAACAGTGTCATTTGCCGTTCCAGGGAATGCATCAACAGCCACCACCTGCTCAACAAGCCCCACAATCTCAAAACTTTGGCGGAGAACAAGCAAGAGATGAACAGTGAGTTTTTCGCCCATGAAATAGAAACATTGCTCCAAGAAAGTCAACGTCCATCACGACGTGGTGAAACCGTTCCACTCACGCACCAAAAAATTGCAGTCACATCAAGGAGCATCTTGATGGGAAGGTTGATCCGACTGCAAATATGACGCCAGAACAACTACAGTTCCACTACTTCAACATGCACGATCTCGACAAGAATGGAAAGTTGGATGGCATCGAACTGATCAAAGCAATCACTCATTTCCATACAGGTTACTGTTCAGAGTTTTCATGTTATTTTTCGGTACTGAATGAAGAATGAGGAAAAAAGAATGGGAAATGAAGTAACTAAAGTCACTGCCTCTCAAAAACTGGTATTCCCATTTTTCTTGTAACCTGACTTTCCTGGACGGCAGATTCGGGTTCTTGGTTGTTCCTTTACGGGTGTGGTCATCATATCCCCGCAGTGACAAAGGCAGGCTTGCGCTTCGCATCGCGTCCGCTACATTTGCACCGGAACCTAGACGCTTTCACAGGAGTGCTAAATGCTGAGTCATTCTGGATAGTTTGTGTGTGTCGCCGCAACGTGGATGAAATAATGCCTCTATTCTCCTTCAATACCTCATTTCTCAACTTGGAATGATTCATTTTTTTCAAAGCACTCGTAGGGTTGAGTGGAAGTTGCGGTGATTACGGCGACCTCAAAATTGATACATTCTGTTGAATGCTACTCGTAGGCAGGTTTTCAATTCCTTTTTCTTCAGAGAATCCTGGTCCTCGACACCAAAATCCTAATCAACTCCCACCGCTACCAACCGAAGTGGAATTGGAATCGATGATTGATGCTATACTAAAGTACGTTTACTTTGGAGAAGTCCATGCAATACTTCAGTATATCGGCGCATTTTAGTGCGGAACAATCAGGGTTTTCAAAAACTATGAGAAAAGGTTTTCTTTCATCATGAATTTTTGAGAAGTTTTTTGTATGAGATCAGCTCACCTTCACGGGATCTTCCTACCCCAGGTTTAGGCAAAATCCGCTGGCTCCAACTGTTTCTGAGTATCGTCGTCGTCTAGAGAATTATCCGCGCTGGTGAGCGTCACGTGCGATGTCGCGCTCGCAAATGACGACGTCCTAAGGTCGTAGGTGGCGGGATTAGGACAGATAACCAGAAATAGGGTAAATATATGCTATGTTGTAGTCCAAGAGAATTCCGGTGCTCCAATTGACAGGCTAATGCAAGTTAAGAGAACGCCGTGCTCATCGCTGCACGCGCAGGGCACATCTTTGGTGGGGAATCCCTAATAGGGGGGAGGGTTCGTATTTGGCCGCTAGGAGAGGGGTGTTTGGGCTGGGAAAAATTTATTTTGATAGTTGATTTTTCTCGCTTCACGGACGTTGTAAAGGGGAAGGGGGGGGTCGTACCTGATCATTGTTGGGAGGGCGCTCCGTATTTGACGCGTTTGGCGTTGTAGGAGCGGTGTTGACTTTTTGTGATTACTTCATGCGTTCTGATATACCTATATACCCCCCCCCCCGAGGCCGACCGATGCAGGAAGGAACAGAAGGCCGGAGGGGGGGGGGGGGATCGTACAGACTCGCCACTACAAATCCAACCAATGATGTGCCCTGTGCGCGCGACGGCGTGGCAAAAATTACGGTTGTCCTGACCGTCTCTCGTTGTTTCTTTTCACATTGGATTGGATGCCTTGAATGCCGTCCAGTATTTTGAAACAATCGCAGAAATCGTATGAAATCGAAGGTTGTACGGTTTCGTACCTTGGAGAACACCTCGTGCAAAAGTAGGAGTACCGTAACCCGGCGAAACTCTTGCACTAAAATGTTGGCCATATTGAATTAAGGCCAAAACTAATATGCTTGAGATGCTGCAATAGTAGTGAATTATGTTTCAGGGATGATGATTTTAATTCTGACGGTTACATCGACTACGGAGAATTTTCGAAAGCCCAGAAAATGCGTGATGATCAGGCCAGGCAGCAACAGCAGCAGCAACAGCAGCAACAACAACAACAACAACAACAACAACAACAACAACGTCATTGGATCGAAGACATGAATCTCTTAGATCTTACGTTCGAATATCGTCGCTATAATTAAGCAGCTGCCAAGTCATGGAGTAGATGTGACGCCACAAGTGTCCTTTCTAAAGTTTATGTTTTTCTTTTCGTAACTTAATTTACCACGTTTAGCGGCGGTTTACATGGTTTAATTTGCTTAGTCTATCCTCAAGCGACTGGTCTGGGAGTAGAAGTAGTGTATATTCCTCCCACTGTGCTGATCGAAGCGAAGAAAATGCAAGGGCAACTGCAAGTAGTGCTGATGGCGCCAATGAAAGCCGTTCCCCTCCTGCTTCCTGACCCACCACGCAGCCTCTGTCGCCTGCGCTTCCTAAGGTATCAGCTGCGGATGGTAGCGCCGAAGTAGATTAGTTGCCCACTCCAGTTGTCACCTCAACCGGAGAGCCCCAGGGCATATTTTCTGCTATTTCTTGAGACTATGTCAGTTCGGTGTGAGCACGATTTGTGTTTTTTTTACTTAATTTTCTGCTTAACTTTCTGGGTGCTAGGGTTTTAAGCATTTTTTTCACTCAGTCTCGTCAGCTACTAATATAATGGTTTTTACTGTAACTACTTTAACGAAATGGTCGCTAATGTTCTTCCGCATAATCTACTTTCACATATAATTGAAGTCTGTTGAGTTTGTGATAAGAGTTGTTCTCTCACCTGTTCACATGTGATTGTTATTTTTCTTATTTATTGACCGATAAACATTTTTTTTATACTGAAGATATTGTATTGGTTCAACTGAAGGACGCTGACGTCGCGCACTGATAGACTCTCGTAACAATGTGGCACGTGTCACGTCGCGGTTACCAGGGACTCATTGGCTTTACTAAAGACAAACTACACACTCACTTCCGAAGGACGATCTTTGCGGTGTGAATGGGTTGGCAGGTGCAGTAGCGTGCCATTTTCTCCGCTCAAAAAGCACGGGAACGGAGTTGGAGGTCAGTGACACCGGGTGCTATCTCTCGGCTCCGCCGTGCTAGCCTGAAGATCCAGCTTTTGCGCTGATACTAAAGTCCCGTAGTGAAACACGCACTCTCAGCATTAGAGAACAACCAGAGGGCGCAGACAAGCAGCGCGTTTGTTATGGTCAAGCGAGTGTTGGCTGTGCAACAGCGCGGGTGGATTTGGGGAGACGGCATCTGTCACTGTTTGCTGCTGGCAACACAGTGATTCCACTACAACAAAGTCGTTAACTATTGAAATATTTTATTACATGCTAAATTAACAATTTCCGGGCACTGGAACAAATAGTAAAACAGTTTATTCTGATCAAGGGGTATTGGGAGGGGTGGAGTGGGCGGTGCGTGAGACTAGGTTACGCGCTCTCTCTCTGTTCGTTTGCGCTCTTGTTGGCGTCGAATAAGCTCAATGAGCACTGTCTCGCTCAGCGGGTGCAGATGAGCAGAAAGAGGCGTGGTCTGGTATCGCACCGACTGCTCCCTCTCCTCTCCCAACAGCCTTACCAGCCTTTTTGAAAATTTTTCAATATTACACACGAATGTCTTCACATTAACAATAATTTCTATAAAGAAACAATTAAGTCGAATTCAAACTTCACTCATTCGAAAAGTTTTCCCGGGGCTAATTCTATATAGCACGAAGGCATGGTCACCGATACGAAAATGCAGAAGCGAGCCCCTATCGTATTCTATACACGTCGAGAACTGTTTGCCAAAGATGCATTGCCAATCTGTGTACTTGGTAGCCTGAAATCAGCGAAACACTTGGACTTTTTCTGCTAGCAGTTTGGTTGCTTGGCTGACTTCTGACCATGCTTCTTGGACGACGTTCCTGCGTCCTCCATCGAGGCCGAACGGATAGATATGGGTCAGATGAAAGACACTCGCCATTCTTGTCGTTTTCGCTGCAGACAATAGGGCGTGTCAAAGGGCTGGGTTTGGTGTTGCGCCAACCCGTTCTCCACCAATCGTTGAAGCCAGCAACCAACAGCAGTCGGTGGAAAACAGGTTGACACCGCGCCAATTCCGGCCCCCCACACCTCCCCTCAGCAATCGCAGCGAAGAAGACTGCACTCCCTTCCGCGAAGTCGTCACCAGTTCTGCAGAAACCCTCACCAGGAAACCCGAACTATCGCTTCATGTGTTAGGTGCGTATTGATTGACTGACTCTGCCTGCTGAGCGTTCAGAAGTGTTGGCATATCCGCGAACCCTCATTTTCTTACTGGGAATCCGGTCTGGAGTTCGGTGCGCGTAGGCTACAGCATAGCGTGAGGTGTATGGCTGGTGAAATTCTATGGAAAGCAAGAAATCTTCATTACCTCCGCCATTTTCCAACAGATCATCTTGATAACCCGTTCAGTGAGACGTCCTTCTTCTTGTGTAAGGGTTTCAAATGCACATTCTCGTAGCTGACGATGAAGTTCTACGCCAAAATCCGAGTACTGGAAAAGTTCTAGACATTCGGAGCCATCTAGGGCTAGTGTAATAGTACTGCACTAGAAATATGGGCGCTGGTGTAGTATTGGTCCGTTACCTGCTAAGAAGCATAGTATTTATCACTGAAGTTGGTCGGGGCGTGTCGGTGGCACGTGGACTTTTGGCGCGGCCTGTTTTGCATCGATCGTTAGGGCTTAGGGCGGGCATTCGATGAAAAGTGGGAAAGAAGCTGGCTTAGGTTGGAACCACACCCTGCTGACGC